CATAACCCCTAGTTTGGGGAGAAGCCATTTAGGGATTTTTCACCTTCAGCTTTCGTATTCTCCGTCTAAAACTGTAGTTTTCAGTTCGTGGGTATGAAGTGAAGAAAGTCTCTTTTAATTTTATTCTCTTTTTTTAAAAAATATGTACTGCACCTTTAAAAAAAAATTGTCTACCTTAGCATTGGCATCAGCATTTTTGTCCAGAAGCAGTGCTGTGACATTCAGATGGCCTCGATCTACAGCCCAGTGCAAAGGGGTCCGGCCCTCTCTGTCTACAATAATTGAAGAAAATTATAGCTAGATAACCAATTGAAAAGGTCCTATGGGATAAACTTAAAGAGAAATAATAAACTGTCAGACCGATGGTAAGCATCAAAATTATCAATCAAGAATACTTCATATTATGCAGAAACTATAGCTTTTTAAAATATATAAGATTGACCGACCTTTTATATTTAACGGCACACCACTCTCTATGCAATGGAGCAACTTCTCTTCATCCCCTTCTCGTGCAAAGGAATGCATAGCATCCAATTTTCCTGAATAGAGAGCAGGTATAAAAACTCAGGATCTTTACTTCTAAGGTCACAGTGATGAAAGATAATTAACAGTAATTAATCTTTAGATCCAAATACATGTCAACATAAACACCACAAAGAAAAACACTAGAGTATATAGGAAGTGAAATGTATGTGATTTTCTGGGCTCATATGGAAGGTGGATGGATCAATTTTCTTAGAAATATAACGAGAGACGAAAGATAGAAATTCAAATATCAGATATGTAATTTCAAAAACAAAATTTTGTGCTAATCAGTCTCGAGAGTAAGTACTTTTCACTCAACTTTGAACTGAAGAGAGCAGGTAAGTATATGAGAAGTGTTAAGATTGCAGAACTACTCTAGGAAAAGTTAAGCAAATCAAAGACATATAGACGACTATGCTTTCAGAGAAAACAACAACAACAATAAAGCCTTTTAATCACAAACAAGTTGGTGTAGGCTAGAGATGAACCCAATAGAAACAATGGTAATAAAACCAAAAAAGAAAAAAAAAATTCACGGCTCCGGTACGATGATCGCTAGCCTCTACGCTCTCCTATCCACCGCTAAATCCTTGAAGATATTCTAATTTTTAAAGTCTCTCTGAACCGACTCTTCCCAAGTGAGTTTCGATCGACCTCTACCTCTCTTAACATCATCGACCCGTTGTAGAACTCCCCTACGCACCGGTGCATCAGGAGGTCTCCGTTGGACATGTCCAAACCACCTCAACCAATATTGGACCAATTTCTCCCCAATTGTGCCACTCCGACCCTATCTCGAATATCCTCATTCCGGATTCTATCCCTTCTTGTGTGTCCGCAAAACCAACGCAACATACACATCTCTGCTACACTTAGTTGTTGGACATGTTGTCTTTTTGTAGGCCAACATTCAGCACCGTATAGCATCGTCGGACGAATCGTCGTCCTATAGAACATACCTTTTAGCCTTTGGGGCACCCTCTTATCACAGAGAATGCCCGAAGCTTGACGTCATTTCAACCAACCGACTGCAATTCTATGCCTAACATCTTCATCAATGCCGCCATCCTTTTGTAGCATCGATCCTAAATACCGAAAAGTCTCCTTCTTGGCCACCACTTGTCCGTCAAGGCTAACGTCACCACCATCCTGAGTAGTCATGCTGAAAGCGCACATCATGTACTCGGTCTTCGTCCTACTAAGTTTGAAGCCTTTCGACTCGAGCGTGTCCTTCCACAGCTCTAACTTCCTATTTACCCCTGACCTACTCTCATCAACTAGCACCACATCATCAGCAAAGAGCATACACCAAGGGATATCACCTTGTATGTCCCTTGTGGCCTCATCCATCACCAAGACAAATAAATAAGGGCTCAATGTTAACCCCTGGTGTAGTCCTATTTTAATTGGGAAGTCGCTGGTATCGCCCCCACATGTTCGGACACAAGTCATCGCATCCTTGTACATATCCTTGATGAGGGTAATGTACTTAGATGGGACTTTATGCTTTTTTAAGGCCCACCACATGACATTCATCAGTACTCTGTCGTAAGCCTTCTCAAGGTCGATAAAGACCATGTGCAAGTCCTTCTTTTGGTCCCTATATCTCTCCATCAACTGACGTATTAGGAAAATTGCCTCCATGGTCGACCTTCCAGCATAAACCCAAATTGGTTTTAGGTCACACTCGTCACTCGTCGTAGGCGATGCTCGATAACTCTCTCCCAGAGCTTCATCGTATGACTCATCAACTTAATCCCACGGTAGTTACCACAGATTTGAACATCATCCTTGTTCTTGAAGATCGGTACTAAAGTACTTCTCCTCATTCATCGGGCATCTTGTTTGACCGAAAAATAAGGTTAAAAAGCTTAGTTAGCCATACCAACGCTCTGGCGCTCAAGCATCTCCACACCTCCATGGGGATACCATCAGGGCCTATTGTTTTACCTCCCTTCATCCTCTTTATAGCCTCTCCGATCTCTGCCTCCCGAATACTCTCACCAAGCGTCTATTGGTATCCTTAAATGAGTCATCCAACTCCAAGGTAGGACCCTCACTCTCCCCATTGAACAATTTGTCGAAGTACTCTCGCATCTGTCCTTGATCTCCCCATCTTTCACCAATGGCCGATCTGACCCATCCTTGATGCATTTGATTTGGTTGATGTCCCTTGTCTCTCTCTCCCGGATCCTAGCTATCCAATAAACGTCCTTCTCCCCCTCCTTCGTGCCTAGGCGCTGATAAAGGTCATCATAGGTCTGACCCTTCGCTACACTCACGGCACGCTTTGTAGCCCTCCTCGCTAATTTATAGCTCTCAATGTTGGTTGCATTCTTGTCAAGGTGGAGACGCTTGAAACACTCTTTCTTCTCCTGAATAGCCCTTTGCACCTCGTCATTTCACCACCAAGTGTCTTTCGCATCCTTCTTGCCTCCCCTACTCACACAAAGAACTTCTGCAGCCACCTTCCGTACACATGTTGTCATCTATAGCCACATGTCGTCATCTGCATCTTCTCCTTCTTCCCAAGGCCCCTCGCCTAGCATCCTATCCCTAAACATCTGCGCTGCTTCTCCTTTAAGCTTCCACCACTTCGTTCTCACGGTGTTGGCACGAACGTCCCGGTGGACACGTATTCGGAATCTAAAGTCCGCCACCACCAACTTATGCTGGGGAGAAACACACTCCCCATGAATCACCTTGCAATCTGTGCAAGCGTGTCTATCCTCCCTCCTTGCAAGGATAAAGTCGATCTGACTTGAGTGTCGTCCACTTTGGAAGGTCACTAGGTGAGATTCCCTCTTCCATAGTTTAAAATGGCGACGCCTCGAGGCGAGACGACCGAGGCGATGGCCACTTCGCCTCGCCACTGCCTGAGGCGACCCTGTTCGTGAGGCGCTCGCTTCAAGTCGCCTCGGCTTGCCTTTTCGCATGGCGAGAGGCGCCCGAGAGGCGCGCCTCGGCGCCTTTCAGAGGAATTTAAGCGGCAGTCCATTAAAAAAAAAAAAAAAGAAAGAAAAGCGACACTTTTTGGAAAGAGAATTTTTCTATTTTATGTTTACTACACAGTGTAAATTAATATTTTTACTTTGTAATGTTACTAGTACTATTCACATTTAAGTTTTAGATGCTTTTAGTAATTACAACTAAATTTAATTTATATTATATTTTTTAAGAAATCCAAGGTTATTGTTGGTACTTGTACTTAAATGTGTGTGTGTGTGTGTATATATATATATATATAAGCTTCGACAGCTTGTGTTGCCAAGGCCTCGCCATGGCGATTCGTCTCGCCTTGTGGCGAGGCAATGGGCCAATCGCCTCGCCTCGCCTCGCCATTCGCCATTTAAAACAATGTCCTCTTCCTAAAGAGGGTGTTCGCTATCAACAAGTCGAAGGCCATCGCAAACCTCAACACACCCTCCCCCTCTTCGTTCCTACTATCATACCCAAACCCTCCGTGCACTATCTTGAAACCTACATTAATCGCGCCCACATGGCCGTCTAGGTCTCCTCCTACGAAGAGCTTCTCGCTGGCAGGCACCGTACTGACCAAGGTGTCCAGATCCTCCCAGAATTGCCTCTTGGGGCTCTCACTCAGACCTACCTGAGGGGCATAGGCACTGATCACATTCATGGTCACATTCCCAACTACCAATCGGACTAGGATAATCCGATCGCCTTGCCTCCTAACATCTACAACTCCATCCTTAAGACTCTTATCGATCAGGATGCCTACATCATTCCTACTCGATGAAGCCCCAATGAACCAAAGCTTGAAGTCAGTATCATCCACCTCCCTCGCCTTCTGCCCCTTCCACTTAGTCTCTTGGACGCATAGGATATTAACACGCCTCCTAGTAGCTACATCGACTAGCTCACGTAACTTACCCGTCGGGGAACCTACGTTCCAACTACCTATCTGGACCCTAGTTGGTTCGACTAGCTTCCTTGCCCTTCGCACCCGTCAAGATAGATGCGAAGACCCTTGCTCATTTTCCACTACACCCGGGCGCCGATGTAGTGCGCCACTAAGGGAATGACGACCCAGTCCTTGCTCACTTAACACCATGCCTAGACCACGACATGGCGCGTCCCCGAGGGGGAGACGACCTGGCCCTTGCCCATTTGACACCATACCCGGGTTCCGATATGGCGCGTCACTAAGAGGGTTACGCTCCAACGAATTTCTATTGTGTTTCATCTCCATAGAATGGCTAGGTTTTACGTTGGCTCGCCAAGCCTATCACAATCATCCTCCTTTACCAGGGCTTGGGACCTGCTATGTTGTCTCCGTTGGGACAACATTGTCTCCGTTGGCTCGCCAAGCCTATCACAACCCTCCTTTTGGAGAAAACACACACAAAAAAAAAATGTCAACTATTGTAAACCACAGAAACATACAAGATAAAGAGAGACCATTTCCTCACAGTAGGCTATAGAATGTGAAATGAGAAACATATAGGATAATATCAGGATCCAGATTCCTCCTCATATATGAAGCTACTAAAAACAAGTCTCATCGGCCCCTGGGAGCCTGCATTCTGCGTGTCACTTCTCCCTTCATCTTTTTTCTTCTGCACACACAAAAAAGGCCAGCAACAAGCAAGATAAGTGCAAATGAATCTACTATTCCAACAAATTGAAAAGAAAACAAATGAAATCTCACAGTGGCAGCACCAGCAACCCAAGTAAGATATAACTCAGTCGCAATATCAGTGTACTTCTCCCATTGCTTCTTCAGGAGGCATGGCACCCAGTTTCTGCCATGCTTGCCTAGAACACAGCACGGCAAATTCTCATTTGGTCAACCAAATAATCTTGTCTCGAAAGGCAAAAGAAGCCAGAATTTCAAGGTTTATCAATATAAGAGACATCTTTCAATACAATGGTACGTGAATTATGTGAGTAGCCAAACAGTACAAAAAAAACAACGACACAAACACACATAAGCTATGCTTCTCATTCACAAATTTAACTTCAATAATTTCACAACATGACCCAATCAAACCAACTCTATCACAAACAACAGTTCAGTTAAATTCATCATGCTGAATAAATAGTATTCATAATTACTTAAAAGAATTACCATTTGGCACGGGCAGTCATTTTCAGAGCTGGGAGTCGAACACGGCACCTCGGTGGCAATCTTATACAATCCATAAAGCTGCAACTGGACATCATTCGACACCTTCATCGGCGCCTGATCAGCAGCCGTGGCAGCAATGAATGCAGTGGCAGCACTGAACAACTCATCCAGCTCTGAACTCTCAACGCCCTCCCAATCATCGTCACTGTCGCTAAAATCGTCGAACACCTCCCTTTCACCGCCAGATTTTCCGTCTCCGCCGATCAACGGCTCAGCTTCTCCCAGTCTGCACCCCCGATCGGATTTCAGCTCCGGTGAAAGCGCCTGAGTGATGATCCTGTGATTCTCATCACGGAAGGTGAAGATCACGGAGAAGAGCTTCGCGAGCAGGTACGAGAAAACGACGCCGAAAATCACCGATTGCAGAAACTACTGCAAGTCATCCATGGATGAAATGAAACGACGGGAGCTAAAGAGGACGAAACCAGAAGAAAATCCTAGCAGTTGCGCGGCGAGAAATATCACCGATTGTAACTGCTAGGATTTTCTTCTGGTTTCGTCCTCTTTAGCTCCCGTCGTTTCATTTAATCCATGGATGACTGGCAGCAGTTTCTTTAATCGGTGATTTTCGACGTCGTTTTTTCGTACCTGCTCGCGAAGCTCTTCTCCGTGATCTTCGCCTTCCGTGATGAGAATCACATGATCACTCGGGCGCTTTCACCGGAGCTGAAATCCGATCGGGTATCTGCGGATCTTTCGTCTGGGGCTCTGGGAGAAGCTGAGTCGTTGATCGGCGGAGACGAGAAATCTGGCGGTGAAAGGGAGGTGTTCGGCGATTTTAGCGACAGTGACGATGATTGGGAGGGCGTTGAGAGTACAGAGCTGGATGAGTTGTTCAATGCTGCCACTTCATTCATTGCTGCCACGGCTGCTGATCGGGCGACGGTGAAAGTGTCGAATGATGTCTAATTGCAGCTTTATGGATTGTATAAGATTGCCACCAAGGGGCCGTGTTCGACTCCCCAGCCTTCAGCTCTGAAGGCGACTGCCCGTACCAAATGGTACTTCTTTTGAGTAATTATGAATGCAGTTTATTAAGCATGATGAATTTAACCGAATTGTTGCTTGTGATAGAATTGGTTTGATTGGGTCATGTTGTGAAATTATTGAGGTTAAATTTGTGAATGGGAAGCATAGCTTATGTGTGTTTGTGTCGTTGTTTCTTTTGTTCTGTTGGGCTACTCACAAATTCACGTACCATTGTGTTAAAAGATGTCTCTTATATTGATAAACCTTGAAATTCTGGATTCGTTTGCCTTGTGAGACAAGATTATTTGGTTGATCAAATGAGAATTTTCCGTGCTGTGTTCTAGGCAAACATGGCAGAAACTGGGTGCCATGCCTCCTGGAGAAGCAATGGAGAAGTACAGTGATATTATGACTGATTTATATTCTACTGGGCTGCTGGTGCTGCCACTGTAAGATTTCATTTGTTTTCTTTTCAATTTGCCGGAATAGTAGATTCATTTGCACTTATCTTGCTTATTGCTGGTTTTTTTTTTCTTTTTTTTTGTGTGCAGAAGAAAAAAGATGAAGGGAGAAGTGACAAATTCAGGCTCCCACGGGCCGATGGGACCTGTTTTTAGTAGCTTCATATATGAGGAGGAATCTGGATCTGAACTGTAAGGATCCTTGATATTATCCTATATGCTTCTCATTTAACATTCTACAGCCTACTGTGAGGAAATGGTCTCTCTTAATCCTGTATATTTATGTTGTTTACAATAGTTGACACTTTTTTTTGTGTGTGTTTTCTCCGAAAGCATAGCCGTTTATATGTCTTTGATTTGCTTAACTTTTCCTAGAGTAGTTCTGCAATCTTAACACTTCTCATATGAAGTGAAGAGTTCAGTTCAAAGTTGAGTGAAAAGTACTTACTCTCGGGACTGATTAGCACAAAGTTTTGTTTCTGATATGTAAATATTTGATCTTTCGTCTCTCGTTATAGTTCTAAGAAAATTGATCCATCCACCTTCCATATGAGCCCAGAAAATCACATACATTTCACTTCCTATATACTCTAGTGTTTTTCTTTGAGGTGTTTATCTTAACATGTATTTGGATCTAAAGATTAATTACTGTTAATTATCTTTCATCACTGTGACCTTATAAGTAGAGATCCTGAGTTTTTATACCTGCTGTCTATAGGAAATTGGATGTTATGCATGCCTTTGCACGAGAAGGGGATGAAGAGAAGTTGCTTCATTGCATAGAGTGGTGTGCCGTTAAATATAAAAACGTCGGTCAATCTTATATATTTTAAAGGGCTACAGTTTCTGCATAATATGAAGTATTATTGATTGATAATTTTTATGCTTACCATCGGTCTACGAGAAGGATGTACAACAACTTTAACTTTGAAAATTGAAACTACAGTTTATTATTTCTCTTTAAGTTTATCCCATAGGACCTTCTTCAATTGGTTACCTAGCTATAATTTTCTTCAATTATTAGGACAAAGAGATTCGAGGAAACTTATTGAAAGAACAGAAGAGACTTGAAAAACAACTCAAATATGAGAGACTTGAAAAACAACTCAAATGTAAGGGGATAACGGAAAAAATAGTCATTAGGATATACACAACAACAACAACAATAATAATAATAATAATAATCATAATAATAATCTAATGCCCAGCTCCCCTAGCCAGAAAAGCCCAAATCAAGTCGTCCCTCATGATAGGGCAAAGAGGTCCGAGGAACCATATTGAGAGCATATGAGAGTGGAACAAAAAATATAAGGATAAGGGAAACAAATAGGTAATTAGTACGACAATATTAATAAATAGAAAAATATCTGATCTACTGCCCAATCCCTTAGCCCCATATAGTAGCGCCATCAAACTCAAAGCCCAAACCAAGTCGTCCCCCATGATAGGGCAAAGAGACTAAGAGAGAATTGAACAAAATATCAAACCTGATATTTAACTTATATAATAAGAGAGAATTGAACAAAACAACAAACCTGATCTAGTGTCCAATCCCCTTAGCCACAAATAAGGGCAATCGAATTCAAAGCCCAACCAAGTCATCTACCAAGATTGGGGCAAAGATATCCAGTGAACAGTATTGAGCACAGGAGAATGGAACAAAAGGTCTAGCTCAAAATGATACATGAAAATTAGGTTAGTCTTACAAAGATAAAAGAAAAAATTATGTTAATTGTAGGACATTGTAAATATAAAGACAAAACAAAAAATATCAAATAGATAGTGCAACCAAACCCAAAGCCCTAACCAAGTCATCTTTGAGAAAATTCATCATCCACCGAACCATCTAATAGAGTGTCCCAAATCCATAACCAACATTAAAATAATTTATGCCAAAAAAANAAAAAAAAAAAAAAAAAAAACTTAAATGGTTATAACTAATTTGAAAGTTTTAAAAGAAAAAAATGCCAGGAGAGATATTAATTGCAAGGAAAGTTTATGTGAATAAGAAAAAAACATACGAAACTGTATGATGTAAAATATAGTCAATATTTGTTTCATGGTAATTAAAACAGTAAACATCAATTCGAACTCAGACAAAGCACGGTATAGGCATAAAATTTTCACCACACATTATCGACCAACGGGAGAAACTAGAAATTTAACTCGCGAACAGTTCATAAGAATAAGAAGGAGAATCAAACAATTTAATTGAATTCGGAATACCCAAATCGCACTGACATGAAAGGCTTTTCGTCGTTGGATTCAAAGCAGACCCTAATCGCCCCCATTTGTTCGACAATTGAGACTCTAATAGCTATTTTAACCCATATCTTTTTCCTTCACAGAGGAACCTGAAACTCAGCAAACACAAAATGGAAACGAAGATTTATAGAATGATCAATAAAAGCTTTTCACTGGGCAATGCATTTGAATTTTGATGAAGGTACATAGAACATACAATTGTTATTTGACGAACTTTATATAGCGAGAATGAAGACGAAGCAGGAGAGAGAAGATCGAATTAGGGTACTTTCCTTAATAAACGTTGTTCGCTTATGATGCGGATGAGGGCCATCAGCTGAATAACGCGTATAACCGGGCTCGGCGAGTAAGAATAAAGCTGCAGAAAAATAGCAGTTGTCCAGGGTTAGCGGCACTAAGGCCCCTTAGTGGCGCTAAGGCTGAGGATAGCGGGGACAGAAGCCTTACGCTATACTGATTAGCAACCACTAATGACCCTTAGTGGCGCTAAGGATCCTTAGCGGCGCTAAGGTCCCGGCGGGAGCAGTTTTTTATTTCAATTTTCTTTTCATTTTAGGTGTGTTTTGAGTAGTTAGTAGGATTATTTTATGTTGTTTTTGGTTCATTTGTAGGACTATCTTTTATCACTTATCAAAGAACTCAAAAAAAAGCTTGTTTTCGAGCACAAATCCGTGTCAAAATCAAAGCTTTAGTACGTGTTTTGATACAAAATTCGATACTCGATACACGATTCATAACATTGGTCCTTTCATTGAGAGTTACTAATCGCGTATCATGGCAACTAATGGAGAGAGGATGGATCATATGGAGGAGAGCATGCGTGCAATGAGTGAAGAAATTCAATCTACGAAATCAAACGATGGCGAGACTCGAGAGGATGATGCTCCAAACCGTTAGACGACGGGCTAGGAGGGGTAAACATTCGGAATCATCTTCCGAAGGGTCAGCCGAATCTGTAGAGGGTCGCGAAAACCGGAATGAATTTCCGGAGGAAGAAGATGCTCGTTCAAGGGGATCAAACCACCGTGGAAGGCAAAGGGTCGAAAAACCTAAGTTAATGCTTCCGACATTTAATGGTACGGATCCTGATTCATTGTTAAATCGTGCTTGTCAATATACGAACTGTTGAAATGAATGTGAATTGAGAGAGACTGTTTACTTGTAATGGGGCCTTTGTTTTCTTGCAAGATATGTCGGAATACGAGCATGATAGAAAAAGCCACCGGAATCTTGAGAATTTCGTGGCGGCCTCCAAATGAGTGACCGTATTTCTGCCCTGTGCCCACATCATCTCTTTTCGGATCTCTTCAATCGGAAACACGAAGCGCCTGCTTTTCTAGATAAAATGGCAAATGTGTCTTTGGAAATCCCTTGTCAGATTCTACGAGAAGGGAAAATTGAAGCAGCTATAGATGCTATAAACCTCACATACTAAATTCAAAACATGACAATCCCAAAGCTAGTTTTTCAACATTCTTATAGTTGCCGAAAATGGGAGCAAACGGCAAAACCGACCAATACCCTACACGGGCCGCCGATACAGCAGGTTGGCCCGCCTTCACACACACACACACACACACAAAGCTAGCAGTCCTGGTTTCGTACAAAATTGGAAACAATGTGGGTGAAAAACCAACGGGAAAGAACCAAGGCAATTATCCCTAATTACATTAACAAAAGCCAAGATTCAGCCAATACCTGGGTCAGGTGTCTGTAAAATGAATCTCCGGTGGATGGACTCGGGATTCCCGAACTTTGTGGGTGGGCGTCCGCCAGTGGCTCTTCTGCAGAATCAAAGGAGGGTTTATTAGAGAATCACAATAGTATGTTAATTGCAGAATTGTAGAGGAGACAAAAAACCTTCTCCAACGGTGACTGGCATGAAAGAGACTCAATAGATGTAGAAGTCTTTCCACTTAAGTCCTTCTAGAATTGATGACTAAATTTTTTCCTCCTTTTTACTTCTTTTATTTTTAATTAAAACCTATTATTTGTATCTTCCAAAATACCAAAAGCACAGGAAAAAAGCTTGCGGGAACTACTCGGCGGGAATCGGCGGAATGAGAGGGATTTGGGAGAGGTGGCGCTCCTTAATCAGCATTTAACTTACGAGTTCCTTTCTCCGATTTTCGATCTCATTTTGAGTTCATTCATGTTTCAGGGAGATCTGTAGCTGTAGCCCTAATTTTCTGTTGATTGCCCTCTGCCAAATACCCAATTCTCTTTTCAGGTTCTTTTTTTTTTTTTTTTTTTGAGAAAATAGATACAAAGTTAACAGTACAATCCACACTGGGCTTACATCAAGAGAGGGGATAAAGGATACCCAAAAACTACAAAAGGAAGCAACAGAGTCCTAAAAATACTACTCTCAATTTACACATACATACAAAAGAAAACACAAGGCAAAAGCAAAAGGCAGCTCGAAAAAAAACCAAAAAAAAATAAACTACTATAGAGCAAGAAGATTCCAAGAACAACCACTGGAATTAAATTCCCTAGCTCTTCCTCAATCTTCTTGAGAGCAAAAGATCAAACAGCAAGGAAAAAAGCACCACTTTGGATCAAATACCCCTAGCTCAAACCTTGTCTGAACAATCTGAATTAAGCAAAATAAACTTGGTTAACTGCATTGAATTCCTGCCATTCTATCAGCTCCATCTAATACTTAATTAAACCGATTTGTCGAAATAAAAATAGCCCACTTAAATGGGCCCAGAAATTGGGCTCGCTCGGGAATTAAATAAATTATTCGGTTTCGATTAGCTTTAATAAAAGCTCGATTAATCCAAGGCTCGATATTAAAATATAACGGATACTTGGGCTAAATAAATCCGACTTTTATAATTAAAATCGAATAAATTCTCCATAACTTAACTTTAATACTAATTATTTAATTTAATGCAAATAATAACAATAAATGCATCAAATTAG